AAGATGGATCAACTTTTTACTGGACTTCATAACATAATAAGATGCTGATATAAATTGTTTTACAAGGGAGTTTGGATTGTAGTAGACAATATAATCTGTTGTTAGAATCTGTTAATATAAGCAAATGGGACTCATTTTAAACCCTGCTCTTAAACACCTACTAAAAGACCTTAAAGTTGGTAGTAAATTTATAAGTGTTTTGTCTATCTGTAGAAAAGTGGATAAGTTTTATATTGGTGAAAATGAGTATGGTTAGATAAAGTGAGTATTAGAATCTTAAGCTGTTAATGACTATCATGTTACTTTGGAGACAAGAATATTTATAATTTGTATTGCTCTCCCATTCCCTGATGCTTCTTGTTATAACTGTACTTGGACTAATTTATGCTGACTAAAACATGGCAACCTTTATTTAATCAACAAATACTTATTGAGCATCTCCTCTGTGCCAGACACTGTGCTAGGCACTATACTGAAGGTACAGTGGTGAGCAGAATTAATGCGGTCCCTACCTTCAAGAAGCTAACAGTTAAATAGGAAAGAGACTTACAGTAGACAATAAAGAAAATGGTAATTTTATCTTGTGATGAGTACTAAGAAGGAAATCTAGCAGGATGCTCTAAAATGAATGTGTAGAAAAGTAGACCATTTTATGAAGTGGTCAGGAAGATGTTTTTTGAGGGCGTCACATTAAATCTGAGAATTAAAGTGGGAGAAAAATGCAGCCATGCAAAAAAAAAAAATGGAAAAAAGAGCATCCTGGACAGAGAGAGACAAAGGTCTTGAGGTGAATACTTGGTGATTGTTAAATAATCAGTGTGACTGGAAGTAATGAGCACAAGATTAGGTTGAAGAGATAAGGAGGAGTCAGAAACACAAGGCCTTGTTAGCTGTAAGAAGGAATTTTATCAAGTAGGGAAGTGACAGATTAGATTTCTGAAAGCGCTCTGAGTCTTTAATGGATGCATTGTAAGGAGGTAAGAAAGTATGGAGCCTGTGATTTTTAGATGACTTCTCCAGGCCAGGCGAGAAATGACTTGGGCTAGAGTGATGACAGTAGAGATGGAGAAGAATAGGTCTATTAAGATTGGTAAAAATCAGTAGATCTTGCTGATGGGCTCGACTCTGGGAGAAAGTATGGAAAGAGATAACAAAGAGTGATGCCCTGGTTGCTACTGGAGAGATGGGGAAGAGAGAAGCAAATTTAGAATGTTCTGAGGTACCAGCAAGGCATAAGGTCTGGATATAGTAAGCAAGCAACTGGTCATCCTGACTTAGAGCTCAGTGAGGTAATCTGAATAATGTCAGAATTCTTTCCACTATGTGTTGGGCAGTAAAGACACAATGAGAGAGAAGTCCTCTGCCTTGATGGCCATTACAGCGTGTAGATGAGGTCACCTAGGTAGAAGGCAGAAAGAGAAGAGGACTCAGTACAGAGCCCTAATGAGCTGTAACATTTTAAAAGTTGGGCAGAGGCTGACTCTGAAATCTTAGTACCTTTCAACCTGTCATTGTTACTGTGTTACACAATCATCGTAGCCACTGTCGGTGTTGATGAGAGGTTTAAGAGATGAGGAGAAAAGCTTGGATGCTGGATTCAGTAATTTCATAAATCCCCTTGAAGTAACTGGTGGGAGCAAAAAAGTCTTTCTGATCACACTCTATAAAGTAGTCTGCCTTTCGACACACTCTTCTCTGTTAGAGCATACTCTTGGGGTTATTATTTTTTCTTTTTTTCCCTGGATTATCTCATTGTTTTGGTTGTGAGTTGTGGTCTTCCTATTTTGGTCTTTTTCATTTTGCAGGCTTTTCTTGAATGTCTGATTATCCTTGATTATGTTCATATTTAGAAATGAGGCTGCAAAGCCAAGTAAGCGTTCCGTATCGTTCAGTGGGGATTGTCAACTGATTAGCCTTTGCAGTAGGGAAGGCAGACAAGGGAGCTAGATGTTAAGTTGGAGGCAAAATCCTAAATGCTAGAATATGGAGGGCTTTGCTTTAGGGTGCCAGGAGCCATTCTTGCCACCTGATTCTCTAAGAACAGTTTGCTTCTTTGCATGGGGTTAGGGTTGTTGATTTGATTGTTCTTTTTAGAGAAGTTCAGCCTCTTTTCTATACCTCTGCTCTCTGGGTAGGAACGTATTCACAAATCCAGAGCTTCTCCATTCTGATAGGCAGATCTTCTCCTTTTTCTGTAGCCTCTTGTGTGAGCACTATAAAGACTATGACTTTGTTCAGTTTCATCAGTTACCATTTGTTTTCTCCATTTTCCAAAAATGTGTTAAAGTCTCTTGTGTGGAGGTCTCCTCCTACTTTTATCCTTTATTGTAGACATCTACCATTTTTGTTCTTTGACTGTCATTTTGAATAGGGTTTTGGAGGAAGAAGAGATAAATGTGTTTGTGTGTTTAATTCACCATCTTGGACCAGAAGCCCCAGCAATAGTAATGTTAAGAAATGCATGCCGGGCTCGGTGGCTCAGCCTGTAATCCTGCGCTTTGGGAGACTGAGATGAGTGGATTGCCTGAGCCCACGGGTTCTAGACCCACCTGGGCAACTTGGTGAGACCTCATCTCTACAATAAATCAAAAAAAAATTAGCTGGGTGTGGTAGCACATGCCTGTAATTTCAGCTACTCAAGGCTGAGGTGGAAGGATCAGCAGAGCCCAGAGGATCGAGGCTGCGGTTGCCGGGAGCGGCCACTGCACTCCAGTCTGGGCGACAGAGTGATATTCCAACTCCAACTCCAACTCCAAAAAAAAAAAGAAATGCAGTGTATACCTTGACATCAAGTTAGAATAGTTTTTCTTAGTTCAATTTAGTGAGCTTTTAATATTTAGCAAAATTTGAGCTGCTCTTGTATATACGGTACTTGTCTGTGGTTCTGTGGGAAATACAGGAGAGTGACATGGTCATCCTTGCCCTCAGAGTCTCCTGTTTGATAAAAGCAGTAAGGCATGTGAGACATTAGTTATATCTTAAAAAGAGTTTCAAAAGGTTGTGATAAATCAGATAATGGAGAAATCACTTAAGTGTTGTAAGAGTTTAAAACTATGAAATACTTTATTGAGTAAATCTTTTTTTTGGTTCTCCTGGGAAGATGAATAGAAATTCTACAAGCAGGGATTTGGATTGAAGGGGTAACCTTACCAATAGAAAAGAGCCAGAATAGTGACTTGGGAGAATGAAGGCCCAGAGACTATGTAAGAAAAACTACTGAGTCAGTTTGACTAGAGTGGATATATAGCTATAGGATAACAGGGGTTCATAAGGCAGGTAAAGACAGCATTTGCCCTTGAAAAGAAGAGGGATCTTAATGCTGAATTAGTAGAAAAGGAAATCATTTGGACCTTTGAGAGAAAAAGGAACGTAAAGACCTTTATGCTGCACATCATTTGAGTGAGATAGTGTTGGAGCTTTGGGAGTAAGTTGCAAACTTAGCTTAAAGTATACAAAGCAGTTCTGTTTTTTTATTTATAAAATTAAACTTCTTTACTAGAAAATACAGTCATATTTTTAGGGGGATTGGTGGGATGATTTGGAGGAAGAGGAATTAATAAGAAATATGAGTAAAACAGATCCAAACAATGTCATTTTTCATAGTGTAACTTGTAGATTTGGATTCGATTTTTGTAAGGTTTTTGTGTGTGTGTGTTTTAATTCTGGAGTATATTGTTTTTTGATTGCTTTAATTTCAAATCTCATCTCCAGTGGAAAATGTGTATATAAGGAAGGGGTTAAACCCTTCAGATTTAAGTTCTGACAGGAAGTAAAACTAACGAAAAATTGAAAATTACTTGAAAAATTACTTGAAAATTCCATGTGGTTATCGAAGAACTTAGATTTAGTTTTAACCTAAGGCTTTGTGTTAGAGTTTTATGAATCACATCTCTTGTATCACTTTTCTTTGGAAAAGCATTAGGAAATGCCTAACCTTATTTTTAAGTAGTCGTCCTTTCAGTTAAATAACTTTCATTCAGTGCAAATAACGGACTGTTTATGCTTATACTGTGTACTTTTTTGCAATTGTAAATGAAGATTCTTGCTAAGTTTAGGCAAACTGGTGTTATGTAAATAGAGCTGTTCTGAGTCTTCAAGACTGTGTACTCAGTGGAAAGATACACGTTTACAGTGACTCCTGTCCTGAAAGTATATGCTATTTCAGTGCATGTGGTCTCGAATCACACAGATTATCTCTGTCATTTCCTCTCCAGCATCACCTCCTGAGATCTTCATTCAAATCAACTTCTCAGTGATGCCTTTTCTGACCACCTTATCCAAAATGCTGTTCTTCCCCAACATTTCATATCGTCTCTTTCTTCATTTAGTTTTTTTTTTTTGCTCTTTAGGACTTATCCTTTTATAATTTACTGTGTATTATGCTTGCATATCATTTTTGATCTGTCTTCCACACTAGAACATGTTTTGTGCAGACAGTAGTTTCTATTTTATTCAATACTGTATCTCTCTCTAGTGCCCAGAACAATGCCTGGCAAATAGTGTACATTCAGCAAATGTTTGTTGGATGAGTGTATGTCACTAATGTGTTTTTAGAACACTCATTTTATTTCAAGGTAAAATTTAACTGTATATGTAGTTATGTGTAGTTTGCATAGTAATATGAATTTGCATTAGGAGAGGTAACAAAATACGTTTTTTAAAAAAAATTGTGTTAAATTAGAAGTCTTTTTTAATTTTTATTTTAATGATGTGGAGTATAATTCAGGGTTAGGCATACAAATGGTCATTCTACAAGTAAAGTTTGGGCCTCACTTTGGTCCCCACTTCATCGGGCTTAAGATCAGGTACCATTACTGATGAAGTGTGTCTCCCCCTACCCCCCCCCCACCCCCAGCAGTTTCCCACTACTGACAAAATTGTTGAGTAATGGTGTCATTTTTCCTTAAATGTTTTTAGGGAAGTAAGTTAGAAATCTGGCATATAACAACCTTGAGCATTGCTACTTCAGTTCGGATATTAAAGTCCTTTCTTTTATACAGGTGCAAGTGGCATGAAGAAAATGATATTCTCTTCTGTGCTTTAGCTGTCTGTAAGAAGATCTCGTAAGTTGTGGAAAGGAGTTTCTTCATAATGCTCTTTTCTGCCCTGAATTCTCCCGTGCCCCTTTGCTTGCCATTGCTTTGGTAGCTCTGTTTCACAATTCTGTTTTAAGACAAAGGTGGTTTTTTACTTCATGTTGCTTTTATTTTTGTGTCTATGTCACTCCTCGCCTGAGCAATGTGGACGAACCCTCAGAAACACAAAACTCTAGGACTCTTGTAGAAGAGTGAAATTCCCTAATACCACTGAGGTCAACACTTCCTCGTGGAGGTACCCCACAAATATAGACCCTTTTCTTCTTTGTAGCGAAAGTACCTGGAGCCACAGCTGTCTGGGTGCTCTAGTAGCTCTTTCACATGGCTGGAGATGATTGGTTCTGAAGATAGATAAGTGTAGTCTTATTTCTGCTGCTGCCTCTCCTCACTTTAAACATTTGGGAATCCTGGTAGTCTTTACCCTCATTCCCATTCCCTTATGATGAGCCTGAAATTTTACCTGGTAAAGAGAAGATTGCTTATCAGTAATAACCTGTTTTATGACAAGTTTTGCTACTTATTCCTATCTCTTCTCTGAATCTCTAAGTTTGTTTTTTTCTAATTTAAAACAATATCTCAGATGCTTTCTTTATGTTAGAAATTTTAAAATATAAATGCTTTTAGAATGAATTAAATGAGATTCTAATAATGAGCTTCTTACTTCACTTTAAAGGTACTGCATCAGTAATTCTCTGGCCACTCTCTTTGGAATCCAGCTCACAGAGGCTCATGTACCACTACAAGATTATAAGGCCAGCAATAGTGTGACACCCAAAATGGTCATATTGGATGCCAGGCGTTACCAGGTAAGGATATAACTTCTGGGAGCTATTGGTCTCTCTAGGTGTTCTATTCCATGTGATCTTGGCCAGCAGCAGCTTAAGATCAAGACTTTGTTTGATTCTTTTTATTCCCTTAAAGATTATTTTGAAAACCTTCATGGAATGTCAAACAGTTGTTCTTAATCCAGTTGGATCTTGTTTAAAATTCTTTTCCTTCCTGGTATATTTTCCTACTAAATTTAACAAAGTTTTAAGAAAATGAGAATTGGCATTTAAAATGTCTTTATATATAAAATCTATTCAAATACTTATTCCAAAAATTAAATGTCTGAATGTAGATCATAAAAATATTCTAAATATTGACTTTAAAATGTTTAAGACCTGATTTAGGATTTTATTAAAAGTTGTCTAATTTCACTACCACCTTTCTTTCCTGCTATTACTAGTAGGCCTGTCTGTACTACGGAGAGCATAGCAGTTAAGAGAAAGGGCTATGGGGTCAGATCTCTTGAATTTTATTTCAGGTTCTACTACATATAGACTTTGTTTCTATGCTAACTTCATGTCTGTTAGACAAGAACAGTGAAAGGAGCCAGGAGCTCTTAGGATTAAATGCAGCAATATAGGAAAGTGCCAAAGCCCTCCCTTGGAACATAGCAGATAATAAATAAACGTTGTTACTTTTATTTTAAAATAATAAAAAGTTAGTGAAAAGGAAAACCCAATAATGAAGTGAACTATTGATACAAACAACAACTAGGATGAATCTCATAGGCATTAATTATGCTGAGTGAAAGAAACAGTTTCCAGAAATCATATAATGTATGATTCTATGTATATGACATTCTTGAAAAGACAAAAGTATGAAGACCAGATCAGTGGTTCCCAAGTACTGGAGTGGAGACAGGTGTATCTCTAAAGGGGTTAAGTATGAGAGAGGTTTTTGGTGAAATGACTCTGTACCCTGATATACACATAAATCTACACATGTGTTAAAACTCATAGAAGCATACGCCCCCCAAAATTTGACTGTATAATAATTTAAAAATGAAAAATGAAGGATTCCACAGCTTTCTAGATATTCTCTGGGCAAGACCCTTCTCTCCCCTCCCTATTAACCCTTTACCCAGTGATTCTCAACTTAATTTTGTAATTGTCCTCCAGGGGACATTTCTGGTTGTCACAGCTAGGGAGTGGGTGCCACTGGCATCTAGTGGATGAAGGTCAGGAATGCTGCTGAGGGTTGAGAAACCCTGCCTTCGCCTCATCATCATCATCCATGTTGATATCACCAGAATTAATCTTAATTATATGCCCTTTCATTATTTACATCAGTTCCTGTGGGAAGCCCAGGACTTGTAGATTCTCTCTCAACTCCCGGACTCATCTTGTTTGGCTAATCCTGTTTCCCAGCCCTTCTCAACGCCTGAGATACCTTCCTGTGGGTCTTCTCAGCCTCAGTCAGCAGTATAATCTCAGATATATTCAACCTCTTTGGGGGAAACTCTGTTTACCTTCTTGGTTCTAACTAAAATGACCCTCCTCTAAGGACATTGCTTCTCTGTTAGCCTTTTCAAACGGTGACATCTTTTTCTCTCTCGTTTGTCACAGGCCTAGATTTATAGTTGTCCTTCATTGTAGCTTTCAGACTTCTTTATACCTTCTCCCTAAAATTCCTGGACTTTGAATCTCATGCTTTCTAGGTTGTGGTACCTGATAACCCCTTTTCAAAGTCATTAGACCCCTGAGTTGGTCTTCCTCATTCTTAGAACAGCACTGAGCCAGGAGAACAGTTTTCCCATCAGAATTTTTTCTTTTTTTTCTTTTTTTTTAAGTCGGAGTCTCACTCTGTTGCTTAGACTGGAGGGCAATGTCATACTCATGACTACCACAGCCTCAACCTGCTGGGCTCAGGAGATTCTTCTGCCTCGGCCTTCCAAGCAGATGGAACTACAGGCACACACCACCACACCTGGCTAATTTTTTTATTTATTGTAGAGACAAGGTCTTACCAAGTTGCCAAGGCTGGTCTCAAATCCCTGGGCTCAGGCAGTCTTCTCGCCTCTATCTCCCAAAGTGCTGGGATTATAGGCATGAGACACCATATCTGGTTCCATCAGAATTCTTTATCTCAGTTTCCCAGTAGGTAATCTCTCCAGCTGCCTGATCTGTCAGTTTTTTTTTATTTCCTTTCCTCCAATGATCTGTCTCCTATTATACAAGTTTCCCCTCCTATGATCATATGCTGGACCCCAGTGACACCTCCTTCCTAAACTTCAAATATCCTCCTCTCTGACTACTCTCTTCTTCCTCTAGTACCCCAGTGCCAACAATTCTTTTGCTCTTCTGGAACCTAGAGTTCCTTTATGCCTATGCCTTACACTCCCTTATGGGGCTACCACATTGCACAACTCCAGAGCCACCGTGCACACCAGTAATGCTGAAGCCTTACATCTTCTCTTTACCATCTTCATCCCTACCCTCACCTCCTTCCTTCCCAGCTTAAACTGTCATTTCCACTACCTTGTGCTCACTGTGAAATCCATTGGCCCTCTTTTCTGCATACCTGGCATATACTGCCCCTGATGAAGTCTCACTTTTCACCTACTCTACTTCAATACATGTGAAGCTAAACAAACCTGGAAAGAAACTACCATGCTAACTAATCTTACTGAATATTTATTGCCACCAGCTTCAAGTAGATCCTTAGTGTTGCCTGAAAGTTATCCCTTTATCCACTCTGATTAATTTCTTATTTTCTTAAACAGTTATTCCTCGCCTTCTTTCTCTTTAAACTTCCATTACCTCTTCCCCCACCCTTTCCTCTGATTGATTCCTGTGCCTTTTCGGAGGAAATAGAAGCACTCAGCAGAGATTTTCTATGTATTCCTACTAGTCATCTACCTTAATCTACCATATCCTCTGCTTTGGTCTTGTTTTAATGAATGAAGTATCATTCATTAAAGCCAATCTGTATACTTATATATTAGATCTCATTCTCTGACTACTCAAGGACATGGCTTCAATAATTTTCTCCTCTTGTATTATCAGGATTTCTCTCTATTGTGACTCATTCTTATCAGCAAACACACATGCTGTCATCCCATCTTTATTTTTAAGGCAAACCCTCTCTTAACCCAGTAATTCCTAATTTCCTTCCAAAATCTATTCTATTTTCCTCCTCTCCTTTGCAGCAAAAGTTGATCAGACATTGGAAAAAGTATTTAACTGTGTGTTTACATTTTTTAAAGAGTAGTTTGGAATTGAAGACCATCCAGTAATTGATAAGAAAAAATGTTTTCCTTTCTCTGACTGTTTATTACAGAAGCTAAGGGTCGAAAGTCCAGGATTCTCTCATTTCACCTCTTACAATCAGGAACAAAGATCAAACACATCCATTGGTAAGCATCTTATACTTTACAAAAATGCACCCTAAGAAGGTTAGGCCTTAAAGCTTATTACTAAGCTTTCAGGGCATGGCATTTAAACAGCTGTTTCTAAATTAGCTTTAGTACCTAAGAAGCTTGTTGAATTGGGGGTTTGATTTGGCATTAGCACCTTAAACAATTTGGATGTGTACATTTTGGGGTCACTTTGATAACAGTGTAACTTATTCTCAGACTTTTATTCAGGGCACTTAAAACCTGTTTTTCTTGTAGCAGCTGTAGTTTTATAGTTTTGATGTAACAGTGTCTTTTGAGAGGTGAGAAACTTTAAGTTAGTGACATGAAATTTCAAGTGGTGCCTGACGAACTTCAATTAAAAGTTTTGTGGCCTAAAAGCAAACATACTTGTTCAGTCTTTTGCCTTTAAAAATCTCTCTCCTATTCTTGATCCATTTAACTGTGGCTGGTGAGAGGCCTACAGTCAGATGAATCAGTTAATTGAGGCAATAATAAAATTATATAATTGCTACATTTTTTTTTCTCATATTCTCAATATCCTAGGTGACAACCCATCTGGGGTGAAAGTTTTTGGCCAAAACAGCAGTGTACGGGGAAGAGGGATTACCCGCTTACTAGAGAGCATCTCCAGTTCCTCCAGCAATATCCATAAATTCTCCAACTGTGAGGCTTCACTCTCCCCTTACATGTCCCAGAAACATGAGAACAAATCATTCTCTTCCTTATCTTAATGATGGTACTTTTTTCAATTTCTGGAAAAATAAGAGACCCAACTTCCCTTCTGACTACAGTCATAATAAACAAATCACATCAATGATAAATGTCACTATTATTAAAGAAACTACTTAATTTGCATGGAAATTCTGTTTCAAATATAACAAATAATTGCGGTTGGAGAACATCTTGGCATTTTTGCTTTTTTTCTTAAGGGATTGTTCTATTTCCTGACTGTATGGTGTGTATGCTATTAAAGTTTTGAGTCCTATAAGAACAAAACTAGCATTTTCAGAGTTGTGTTTTTGGGAATGTTATAAATTGATCATTCTTCTGACAATAAAGGTATTGAATATCTGTTATAAAAGGTTCTAAAGTGGTGTTAATCTATGTTTTCCTATTACAAAATGGGAGTCTTACACTACAGACTTGCAGGCTATTTTCGTTGCAAATATCTAAGAAAATTAGTCCTTAACAAAAACAAAGTTTTGCCACTTTAAAAAAGTCTTTGAAATATGCTTACTTTGGCAAAGAGAGTCATTTAAAAGATGAGAAGGCAAAATGAGAAAGGTTATATAATTTACCCCAAATCACATGGCTAGATAGTGACCAAATTTCAAGTCCACTGGACCACAAAACTCTTTGCATTTAACAAGCAGATGTTATATTTATATTGAGTCAGGTATTCACTCTGTGACTGAAACTGGATCATGTTCTCAGCCTGGGTTGGAACCACAAGCCAAGACTATATGAGGCAATGGGTCAGAGATAGCATTTAAATCCGTCTGACCCCAAACCTTGGTTCTTGATTACAGATAACTAGGCTGTTGTCATGGGCCTCTGGTTTTTATTAATACCTGTATTCTCCTTTACTAACAATTATGGACATTTTGTGTATCTATCAGCTTGTGATATCCTTAATATCATTGAAGGAGGAGGAGATATATCTCCATTTTAGAGACTAAAAAAGACTCAGGTCACTAACTGAAGAAACTGGTGTCCTCAGCTAGGTTTATGTAACTCCAAAGATACCACATTGTCCTCCATCTCCCTTTCATTTATTTCTGATACCAGATCTTTGAACAAGAAATAATTCATAGACTATACCTTTATATATTGTATTTTCTAACATCAGGTTTTAAAAAAACAAACCATATCCAAGCTTTTAAACCATTTTCTTTTTCTTAAAAATCAGCTTAATAATAATTGGGTTGACTGGGGAAGAGGAGGGAAGGCCTAAACTTATCATTCAGATCCCTGATTTCAGATACCTAAATCCTATTCTGTGACATCTAGATTCAATCCTGTGTTAATCATTCAAGTTACATTTTTGAAATTTTACTAATAGTGCCAGTTGTACTTTTGAGTTGTGTTTCAGAATAGTTGGTCTTTACCTTCAGAGTTACTAAAAATCTCCAAATAATATTATTAACAAAATTCAAACCCTCTTAAAAAAATTATTTTGACATTGAATTTGGAGCACTAATTATCCTTCAAGAATACTGAATATTGGCCAGGTATGGTGGCTCGCACCTGTAATCCCAGCACTTTGGAATGCCAAAGTAAGAGGATTGCTTGAGCCCAAGAGTTGAACCAGCCTGGGCAACATAACAAGACCTCGTCTCTACAAAAATATAAAAAAATTAGCCAGGCATGGTGATGTATGTCTGTAGTTCCAACTACTATGGTAACTGAAGCAGAACGATCACCCAAGCCTATGTCATCAAGGCTGCTCTGGGATAGTGCCACTACACTCCAACCTGAGTGACGAAGTAAGACCCCACTCAAGGAAAAAAATAAAGAATACTAGATTTGTCAGTATACTCACAGATAGCCTGGTTGACAGATTTTTACTCCAACTCCTGTAACATTTCTATTGTGTAATGTTAACACTTGCTGCTTTTAATTTACAGCTATTGGGGTTATGATATCTCTTCTCAATTACAAACTTTGAGGTGACCATATTTCTGTATGAGAAGGTGTTTGGTAAATGTTAGAAAGAATAATTGCCATTGCAAGTAATGGAGAAGTGATGTTAGAATTTCAAAGCCACGTCATAAGGTAAAATGCTACATGACTTCATGATAGACTTTATTTCCCTTCTTTTCCTCAGAATGAAGTGGTTAGTTTTTATTTGTTCAGTGAAAATGTTTTAAGGGTCTGTTAAATTCTGGGTTAAAAAATACTAAGATGAATAAAGATGTGGCTCCTAACCTCAAGGAACTCACAACTTAACTCAATTACAGCATATTATTAAAAGTGCCCTTAAGTATAAGGAGAGGCCAGCACAGTGGCTCACACCTGTAATCCCAGCACTTTGGCAGACAAAAGCGAGAGGATCATTTGAGGCCAGCTATAAGAGGAGAAGTATATAAATCTGTAGTAGAATTGAGAATCTAGAAATGAACTCTTATCTGTGCCAAGACCATTCTAGTGGAGGAAAGAATAGCCTTTTCAACAAATGACTCTAAGACACCTGGCTATCCACATATAAAATAATGAATTTGGAGCTGTTATGGTTTGAATGAACTCATGTTGAAACTTGATCTCCAATGCATCTGTATTGAAAGATGTAGCCTTGGGAGGCCTTTGAGTAGAGCCTCTGTGAATGGGAGAAATACTCTTTTGCCCTCCACCATGTGAAGAGACATCATTTCCTCCAGAGGATCCAGCAACAAGGTGCCATCTTAGAAGCAAAGAACAGCCCTCATGAGATGCCAATTCTGCCACCACCTTGAACTTCCCAATCTATAGAACCATGAGAAATAGATATATGTTCTTTGTAAATTACCCAGTCTTGGGTATTTTGTCATAGCCACAGAGATTAAGACAGAACCCTACCATATACAAAAAATTAATTCAAAATGGATTGAAGACTTGAATATGTGAGGTAAAACTATACAACTGTTAGATGAAAATATATGTGTAAATCTCCATGAACCTTACTTAAGACACCAAAAGCACAAACAAAAAAAGATAAATGGAATTTATCAAAATTAAGTCCAAAATGTCCTTGTGCATTAAAAGACACTACCAAGAAAGTGGAAAGACAACCCATAGGATGGGAGAAAATAACTACAAATCATTGATCTGATAAGGGTCAGTATCCAGCATATATAAACTGAGCAATAAAAAGACAACCTAATTTAAAAATGGGTGAAGGATTTGAATAGACTTCTCGCTAAAGAAATACAGATGGCCAGCAAGCAAGCACATAAAAAGATGCTCAGCATCATTTAGTCATTAGCAAATGCGAATCAAAACCAAAAAGATACTACTTCACACTAGGATAGCTATCAATGAAAAAGAAGGAAGTAAGTGTTTCTGGGGATATTCAGAAATTGGAACGTCATACACTGCTATTGGAAATGTAAAATGGTGCAGCTGCTATAAAAAACAATTTGACAGTTCTTTAAAATATTAAAGGCAGTGAATGGGGCAAGAGGGTGACAGAATTGGTTAGAGTATGAGAGGTTCTGCAAAAGTGAGTGTCTGTAAAGACTGCATGAGTGGATGTGTCCTGGTGGGTGAGTGAAAGTTCGTCTGAAGGGAGACTCAGGTTCAAGCACCTGGAGCTCTCTGGAGGTGACTGCAACTCACCACTGCCCCGAGATCAGAGCCCGCAGTACACAGGATCATCTGCCATTCTCGGGGGTCTTGAGAGGAGGCAGCAGGAAACAACAACTCAGCACCTGGCGCCTAGCTCACGCCATCATCTACATCAGCAGAACGATCACTAACAACAGGAACTGTGGGGAAGGCATGGTGAAATCTGGAACAGAGCCCTGCTGCCAGTGAGGAGACACCAACCACCAACCAAGACTGACAGAGACCTGTGTTGCCCTGTCCAGCTCTGTCCAGCCTCCAACCTGAGACCCAGAAACTATCTCCACACCACTCTGGGACCCACCATCGGACTCAGGTGTCCCCACTCAAGCTGGAACAGGCGCAGACATGTCTGATCTCAGTGAGAGACTTTACTGCAACAGCAGCGGATGAGTCAGGTGAGTCTGGATCTGACTCATCCTCCCACGGCAGTCCATGGGACATCCGACCCATGCTGAAAGCAACCCTATCAGTCTGAGCTGAGAGTAGAGAGGACACCCTGGAGATGAGCTGCTCCCCAATGTGGTGGCAGCCAAAACTGGTGGCAGTGCTTGGGAAAGTCATCTGAAGTTCTGGAAATGGTCACAGAGCAAGATCTTTTTTTTTTTCTTTATGTTTTTATACTTGCTTTGTTATTGTTTTTTTAGATTTTCTGTTATGAATGAATATCTTTGAGGGTGAGTACCCCAGCGGGTTTTTTTGCTTGTATGATTGTATGTTTGGGGGTATTTTTGTTTTTTGTTTTTTCTTTCTTTGTTAGTTGGTGTGCCTATCTGTTTTACCTCATCTCTCTTCACCTTCCTTTCCTCTCCCTCTTGCCTTTTTCCATTCTTTTCCTTTTTCTCATCTCATTTTGCTTTTAGGGGGCAAACATACACCCCCACTACATGGATAGATTGTAAGGCTGTGGGAAGTGTTCCAGGGGGTCCACACACCTGTCAGGAGATACTGGACTGAGCAGATAGCTTCTGAACTACATCTTCCCCCTTAATAAAATTTTAAAACTGTAGAAAGCACAGCCTCCCAACCCCAGTCCGGCTTCATAAGTCCAGAGGATCTACATAAGGAAGAATAGGAGATTGAACAAACAGAAGTAAAAGCTATCTCGCCATCACTGAACAACAGAATTTTAAAAATGGAGGGAAAAGGGAGAGTGTAAGAAAATGGTGATTCATTTTCAAAATGGTAATTTGTTACTCCATTTCCTGGTTCTTCCTCCTTTCTTAGTGGGCTTTCTCTTTTGGCAGGCTTCCTTTGGTGGCCATTGAGACCCAATCAGAATTCAGAAACAGGTATTTTACCTTATTTGTGTAGAAACTGCTTGTGATTTACCTTATTTGTACAAAAGTATTGCTCAGGTGACATCTAGGGAAGTGATGTAACCTCTGAAGTACTCAGCCAATGGGGAGCTAGGGGAGGAACTTGTGCTTTGGAGACTTAAATAAGCTATCACTGCCTTGGTGTGCCTGCTAACCCAAGAGATACCTGTTATTGCAAGAATTAGATGAAAAGAACTGCTTCACTCCCCTGATCTCTGAGTCTCCATGTCATGCTTTAATGTCAAAATTGAGGAGGGATGATTTCGTCTCCTACAGCCATGGGGACTCATCTGGGAGACCTGTGACTGTGCCAGAGAGAGAGAGACAAGTCCCACCCAGTTTTAGATGGATCACTCCGGTGGGCAATCCTGGTTCCTACTGCTCTGCAAATAAACCTGAGACAATTATCTGAGACTCAAAGGAGAAGACAGAACAGGCATGCACCACCCAT